GTGTGTGTGTGTGTGTGTGAATTCTCAATGGAGTCCTCTACATTTTGGGATTATGTAAGAGAAAAAAAATCCATGATGAAAGTTGTTTGCTGCATTAACCACCCCAATGCTGCACAGAGAGTGTCTAACACATTTGTGATTGATGGATAGCTTTTGCTTATAGTCACCCACCTGAGTATAATTTAGATTTTTATCCTCATGGAATGAGACAAATTCCTTAATTTGATTCTTGTTTTCATTCTTAAAGTCTTACTTCCTCAAACATGTGTTATTAATAGATGGGAATCTATTCAAAGAGCAAAACATAATTTTGCTGCCCCCTAGTCAATGAGAAGTGGTGCTGTGGCTCAAAGTGGTAGAATGCGAGCCTTGAACAAAAAGATCTCAGGGACAGTGCCCAGACCCCAAGTTCAAGCTCCATCACCACTGCCACAAACAACAAAAAAAGGAAGTTCACATTGGCAAGTAGATATCAATGATAAGTCTTTCTTTTCCTTTCTATTCTTTTTTTCTTTTGTCAGTTGTGGGGCTTGAACTCTGGGCCTGGGTGCTGTGCCTCAGTTCTTCAGCAGTGCTCTACCACTTGAGCCACAGTACACTTCAGGCTTTTTCTGCTTATGTGGTGCTGAGGAATCGAACCCAGGGCCTCATGAATGCGAAGCAAGCACTCTACCAATGATAAGTGTTTCTAAAATTACACAGGTTATTATGAGTTAATAAATTAAAATTGCTTAATATACCAACTCTATAAAAAACAAAGAGGACTAGTGATCTAGGTCTGTTAGGTATGAGAACCTAGATTTGGTCCTCAACGCTGCAAAGAGGAGAAGAAGAAGAAGAAGAAGAAGAAGAAGAAGAAGAAGAAGAAGAAGAAGAAGAAGAAGAAGAAGAAGAAGAAGAAGAAGAAGAAGAAGAAGAAGAAGAAGAAGAAGAAGAAGAAGAAGAAGAAGAAGAAGAAGAAGAAGAAGAAGAAGAAGAAGAAGAAGAAGAAGAAGAAGAAGAAGAAGAAGAAGAAGAAGAAGAAGAAGAAGAAGAAGAAGAAGAAGAAGAAGAAGAAGAAGAAGAAGAAGAAGAAGAAGAAGAAGAAGAAGAAGAAGAAGAAGAAGAAAGAAGAAGAAGAGAAGAAGAAGGAAGAAGAAGGAAGAGAAAAGGAAAAAGAAAGAAAGAGAAAAATGAGGGCTCTAAAGAAGAACATCATCATCATCATCATCATAATCGTCATCATAATTTGTTGTTGTTGTTGTTAGTGTGAAGACTGAAAAGGGAGCTGGATGCTGGTGGTTCACACCGGTAATCCTAGCTACTCAGGAGGCTGAGATCTGAAGGTTGCAGTTCTAAGCCAGCCCGGGCAGGAAAGTCCATGAGGCTCTTATCTCCAATTAACCACCAGAAAACCAGAAGGAGTGCTGTGGCTCAAGTGATAGAGCATTTGCCTTGAGCTGAAGAGCTGAGGGACAACACTGAGGCACAGAGTTCAAGCCCCATGAATGACAAATATATGGTGACCATTGGCTCTGTCACTTTTCCACTAAGATTTTTTTTGGGTGGGGGGTCGGTCGTGGGGCTTGAATTCTGGGCCTGGGCGCTGTCCCTCAGCTCTTCAGCTCAAGGCGAGCGCTCTACCACTTGAGCTACAGTGCATCTTCTGGTTTTCTGAGTGTTTATTGATAGAGATAAGATTTTCACAGACTTTCCTGCTCAGGCTGGCTTTGAACCATGGTCCTCAGATCTCAGCCTTTTGAGTAGCTAGGATTACAGGCATGAGCCACTGGCGCTCAGCTCCACTAAGATTTTTTGCTAAGGTCAAAACCAGAAGGATGAAGCTGAATGGTGGTGGCTCACGCCTGTAATCCTAGCTACTAAGGAGGCTGAGATCTGAGGATCGCAGTTCAAAGCCAGACAGGACAAGAAAAATAAGTCCATGAGACTCTTATCTCCAATTAACCACCAGAAAACTGGAAGTGGTGCTGTGGCTCAAGTGGTAGAGTACTAGCCTTGAGCAAGAGAGCTCAGGGACAGCACCTAGACCCAGAGTTCAAGCCTAATAACTGACAAAAAAAAAACAACAACAAAACAACAAAACAAAAGCAAACAAACTCCAGAAGGATGTCTGTTGGGAGCGCAGGTATCTCACAATGAGGGGGGCAGGGGAACTAATAGGGTCATCTTTTTGAGTCCTGGAATTTCACATCTTTCTAAAAGAAGCTCATTAAAAAAAATTAACAAGAAACAAAAGGTTTTTTTTTTTTTTACATAATTTTTAATAAGGCTGTTTTTATTTTCTAAGCTAAAAAGGTATTCGAGGGCTGGGAATGTGGCTTAGTAGTAGAGTGCTTGCCTAGCATGCATGAAGCCCTGGGTTTGATTCCTTAGTACCACACAAACAGAAAAAGCCGGAAGTGGCACTGTGGCTCAAGTGGTAGAGTGCTAGCCTTGAGCAAAAGAAGTTCAGGGACGGTGCCCAGGCCCTGAGTTCAAGTCCCAGGACTGGGAAAAGAAAAAAAGCTATTCGAGATGCAGTGACTATTTACAATATTGTTGTGCTGTGTTAAAATGACTTGATGTTCCTTGTCCATGTCAGTGTGCAAGGCCACTATTTTATGCAGGTGAAGAAACTCTTTGCTGATGACCTGTAATGCTCAAGGGTTGTTATATGTGCTAGAACAAAGCTGATTCATAATTCTGCTAGGTAGGGCAAAGGTATTATACACTCAGCTTCCTTGTCAGATCCTTCCCACATTTAACTAAACTAGGTGAGAACCTTTTTTTTGAAACTCAGATTAGTTAGATTAACATAGGCTTTAAGGCTCTCTTAACCCAATCTCCTAATTTCCTATAAAGGACTGCCCTAGGTTAGTCCAAATCTAGAACTCAGGTCCTGATTCAAGTCCATTGTCCTATATAAATTTTTGTTTCTTTCTTTTTTTTTTTTTTTAATTCTTTTAACTGTCCCAACATGTCATTGCCTGAGATAATTTTTTTGGGGGGTGGTCCGGTCATGGGGCCTGTACTCTGGGCCTGGGTGCTGTCCCTCAGCTCTTCAGCTCAAGGCTAGCTCTCTACCACTTGAGCCACAGCGCCACTTCCGGCTTTTTTCTTTTTGCTTATGTGGTGCTGAGGAATCGAACCCAGGGCCTCAGGCATGCAAGGCAAGTGCTCTACCACTGAGCCACCTTCCCAGCCCTGCCTGAGATATTTGTCTTTACAGTCTATAGGCTTCTACTTAATCATCTAAGTTTTTAGATTTTTTTTCTCACCACAGTCCTGCTTATCCAGGTGTGGTAGTATCCATCTGTAATCCCAGTACTCAGGAGGCTGCGGCTGAGGAACTTCCAGTCTGAGGCCAGTCTAGGCTACTTACTTATCTCAAAAAACCAAACAAAACAAAATTCTAGAGCTAAGTATGTAACTTAGTGGTAGAGCTCTTGCTTACCATGCATAAGGCCCTAGGTTTGGCCCACTAACCCAGGGAATAAAACAAGCCTCCTTATAGCACTGGAGATGGTAGCTTTCAGCAAAGGAAGTGCTCATGACTTACCTTATGAAACAGTAACACCTCTGTTCAATACCTTAATAATAACTGTAACATTATATTTTTAAAAGAAGATTGTAGTTTTTAGTTCAAGTACAACTTGTATAAATACAAACATCCAGATTGTACTTTGAGGATATCCTGAATGAGAGATCGAATCTTGAGGTTTCCCCATAAAACCTTGTTAGGGCCAAAAGAAGATAGACCAATTGGCAAACTCCAGTCTCAGAGGTCTGTCTCTTTGCCCATTCCAGGCTGAAGTTTCCAAGGAAGCAAGCAGAAACTAAAAGGAGGATTTGTCTGTTCTTTTTTAGAAACAAGTCTGTTGAGATTTCATACATTCTGCTCATTTTTTTTCTTTTTTTGCTTCTATGTCAGCAAGGGATTTTTTTTTCCCATTTGACTGAGAACAGCTCTATTTCTCTGTGAACAGCTCTCTCTCTCTCTCTCTCTCTCTCTCTCTCTCTTTTTCTCTCTGTGTGTCTTTGTTATCTTTTCCACCCACAGGTAGTACATTTAGCTGCTGTCATGCTGCTGGATGAACCAAATTTGGGGTGAGGAAGCTAGGGCTGTAGCTCAGTGGTAAGGTGCTTGACTAGTTTATATGCAAGGCCCTGAGCTTAATAACTAGACTTGAAAAAGAAATAAAAGAGAGAGAGAGGTAGAAAGAAGAATGGGAAGGGAAGGAGGGAGTGAAGAGCAGGAAAGGGACAAGTAGGGGAGGTGAGGATAGAGGAGCAGGGAAAAGGAGGGAAAGATGTGTGTGTGTTTGTGTGTGTGTGTGTGTGTGTGTGTGTTTCAGAATAGAAGTGGAACATATCAGAGGCAGAAAAGGAAGTTCCAATCATCTCTGCCTCTTTTTGCTTCACCCCACTTACATGGAAAAGAAAAACACAGATTCTTTTGTTTTTGTTTATGCCAGTCCTGAGGCTTGAAATAGGGGTCTGGGCACTGTCCTTGAGCTCTTTTGCTCAAGGCACTCTACCACTTGAGCCACAGCACCACTTCCTAAAACACAGATTCTTATAGGAGAAAACATGAAGAAAAACAAAAAAGAATGGAGGTGTGATCATCAAGATGTAATTGAGATGAATATAGGCTGAGTCATAATTAATACAGAGCTCTATGCAAATGACTATGAAAAAAGAGGCAAAGAATACCAGTTCGTTCGGACCCTGCCACCTGCGCCCACCCTGGCACCCTTCCCTGATTCTCACACAGTCATCACCACATAGAAGTCCCAGAGTTTGTGACCATGCCAACCTTGGTAAGCTGAGAAAAATAAAGATATACTGAAATGTTTGTGCTACTAAATTTATTCCATTTAAAACAGTGTCTCATGTTCTGAGACTATATCCTTCCGTCTTTATTTTTTTAATCAAATGATGCTGAAAGCAGATGTTAATTGGTATTTTTATGTGTTTTTCTTGGCAACTTAAAAAAATTGACCTCTATGTGTTGTTTCTTGTTTATTTATTTTTTCATTCATTCATTTAACACATTGATTTATGAGACCCAAATGTCTGCTAATCTCTTTCTCAGGGAGGAAAAAAAAAATCAAATAACAAATGGTTACCAATCTATTTGGAACAAATGTCAATTAACTAACCTATACGTCTAGAAGAAGATTTAACAAAAATCTCACTTTTGTTCTAAACAACTCCGTCTCTAAAATGGTTCCATAAGCATATCAAATGAGTCATAAGAACTACTGCTTGGTGATTAAAGAAGCATTTCTTTACAAGCTCTGACAATTTAACAGGGGTGGGGGAGGAGGAAGAATGTAATAATAGCAATAAATACAGATGGGACTACATAAATTGAAGCTGTCCTGCTCCAAAACTCTTGTTAGATTAGCTGGCATCCCAGCTTTCTCATCTGAAATGAAGCAAGAAATTAATTATAACAATGATCATAGCAAGAAGCAAAGAAACAATCAAAACAAAATCCATCCTCTCTGACAGCTTGCCTTTGTTCTTGTCACCCCTGCTCACTTTATGTGTGTTGAAGCAACACACTAACCAAAGAGAAGACAGTATTGAAGAGGGCCATGGCCTGGCCTTGGGAAAGACTAAGCTCCCCCACCCAGGGCAGGCCTTCTCAACTTGCTTTGTTGGCAATGAATGCAATTGCACAAGCACAGGTTAAACCTGCTCAGAGAGTGGGTGTTCTCAGTTCTAAGCAACCTTTCTACCTGTCTTCCTCTGCCTCCTATTTCCTTCTGAACCCCATCACCTTCCAGCTCCTTCCATCTCTGGAGGAGTTTGCCTGATGTAACCATCCATCTCTGGAGGAGTTTGCCTGATGTAACCACTACTGCCCACTGCTTTTTTTTTTTAATGGCCCCATCCCAGAGCACTTACAAAGCTGTGTCTGTGTGAGGGTCTCTCTTCTTTATGCAGAGCTGAAAGCAAACACGAAGAGAGTCATCAGTTTGCTTGCTTTTCTAAAAGCTTGTAGAGAAACATTTTGAATGCAACAAAGTAACAATGGCTTGGGGATAGATGCTATAGAAATATGGCCTTCCTCTACACTGGGTCAAGTCTCATTTTGGAATACTATTTATTGAAATTTGAGAAGATGTAACTCATTCAGGATGCTTCCAGGGTTCCAAATGGCTGGCCATTCTTTCATTTTCTTTTCTTCTCTTTTTTTAATGGTGGAAAGAACTACATTGGATTGCAATGGGGGAGGGGGGGTGGGCAGGGGAAGGGATGAACTGTTTGAACTGTTTCTCTGGAAACATTGTTGCCCTAAATAACACTCAGTGAAGTGTTGCAAGTAGAATGCCCCTTGCTGACTAGTACAGGTTGGCTTTTCCTTAGAGGCTTTTTGCCATGTCTGCCCTTTTTGGCATGAATTACTGGTAGAGTCAAATGCATGGCATTAACCTGTGCATGCATGTTCTTTGAGTCATATAAAACAATGAGGTAAACCAGTGGGCAATTCAAACCCAGTCCATTCCCCCCCCCCCAGGCTATGTGTTGTATTTGAGATGCAAATTTGAATCCAGAGCAGATATTACTTTGTGTTTATTTATCATACCACAGGCACCATAGCAACAATAAAGGGACCTTAAAAATATATTTATCTGGGTTTTTTTTTGGGGGGGGGGAAATCAGGGTCTCTCTTTGACCTCAAACTTGGAATCCTCTTGCCTCAGCTTCCTGAGTGCTGGGTGACAGCTGTGGGCCCCAAACCCATCAGGGAAAACTCAAAAGCAAGAAAAATGAATCCCAAATCTACTCCTAACACCACAGCTGTTTGTCCATATACACTTTTGTTCTTTATAAAGTTACATTAATACCCTATGTACAGCTTTTCTTCCATCCCACAACTTTAACATTTTAAGTTTATTGTTTTGGTGCTACTTTGAACTCAAGGTTTTATTTTTTTTTTGTTTGTTTGTTTGTTTGGGTCCTGTCGTGGGGCCTGAACTGGGCCTGGGTGCTGTCCCTCAGCTCTTCAGCTCAAGACTAGCATTCTAACACTTGAGCCACAGCGCCACTTCCGGCTTTTTTCTTTTTGCTTATGTGGTGCTGAGGATTGAACCCAGGGCCTCATGCGTGCAACGCAAGCGCTCTACCACTGAGCTACCTTCTCAGCCCTGAACTCAAGGTTTTTATCTGTTAGGCTAGTGGTCTGCTCCTTGAACACATTTTTAACCCTTCTGGCTTTTATTATTTTTGAGATAGGATCTTGCTTTTTGCCTGGACTAAGATCTTCCCATTTTCTTTCTTTCCATATTTTTGGTGACAGTCCTATGGCCTGAACTCTGGGCCTGGGAGCTATCCCTGAGCTTCTTTTGCTCAAGGCTAATGCTATACCACTTAAGTGAGTCATACGCCACTTCTAGCTTTTTGGTAGTTAACTGGAGATGTATCTCATAGACTTTCCTGCCAGGGCTGGCTTTAAATTGCAATCCTCAGATCTCAGCCTTCTGAGTAGCTATGACTACAGGCTTGATCTACTAGTGCCTGGCCTATTTACACTTTCTGTTGAAGCTGGGGTGACAGCTAGTACACTACCATGCCCAATATTTATTTGCTTCCTTCCTTCCTTCTTCTCCTTCCTTTCCTTCCTTCTCTCTTTCTCTCCTTCCATTTCTTTCCTACCTTTTCTCTTTCTTTCTCCTTCTTTCCTTCCTTCCTTCCTTCCTTCCTTCCTCCCTCCCTTCCTTCCTTTCCTTTCCTTCTTTCTTTGCCTCTCTTTCTACCCCAACTGACCTAGAACTGTGATCCTCCTTATCTTGGCCTCCCACCTAGTTAGGATAATGGCTGTGTAACACCACAACCAGCTATAGATTGAGATAGGGTCTCATGAACATCTTTGTCCTGGTTGCCTTGCTAAGTAGCTAGGATTATAACCCAGGATTATAGGTGTGAGACACCAGTACCTGGTTTATCTTATTTCCCTCCTCCCTGCCCCCTCCTCATCGCACTAGGGATCAAACCTAAGACCTCAAGTATGCAAAGCACACACCCTACTACACACACCCCTTGAGATCATTTTTATCTCAGTTCAAAATACTTAGTTACCTTCATTATTTTTTTCCTTCTAGCAAGTACTGCAAAGCACAATGTCAGAAAGACCACCACACATGCAGCAATAATGGGTTCTGCTGGAAAGGCCACTCTTTTATCTGTTGGAAATGCAAATACAGGGAAAAATAAGAAATATTTATATGTTTCTGATTTATGTGCCTCTAGGATATAGGTCCCAGCTATGACACCTTGTAGTTTGTGTGTATTATCCTCTTAATTCAGGTAGACAATATTGTCCCTTCTTACAGATGAAAAGCCAGAGTCTTTAGAGGTTAATTGTCCAAAACCTAAAAACTAGTAGATAGCAGAAGCAAGTTTTGAATCTATCTCTTTGTGAAAGAATATGCTATCATAATATGAATAATTTTCCCCAATGTAAGTAGTCAAACCATTTTTGTATTTCTTTCATCCAAAATTCTTGCTACACACAGAGTAGAAGTAAGGCTGAGGTCAGTTGTATTTCTTGCTTTTTGAAAAGCCCAAAACACATTAAGAGGCATTCCAGATGCCCAAAAAGAGGAAGACAGGCTGTGAGCACCAGAAGATAAGGTGGGGAGATTCCACTGGACTGAGAGAGAGATCTATGGGCCCAAGGAACAGAGGGACAATTTACCTCTACTGTGTAAGTATCTCAGGCAGGTGGAAAGGGTTTTTTTGTTTGTCTGTTTTAAGGTTGCTGCATGAAGCCCTTAAGAGAATTAAAAGGTTTGAGATCTGGAGACAATGTGTTGAATCCAAAGAATAAAAAAGTGATAAGATTAATAAAAGTTAATAAATGTTTGGATATTTATGAAATGTAACCTGATTTCAACTAGAGCCCAACTTTGAAGTAATAGTTTCACTTCAAGAATAAAGCTAGTAACTTATTGTCTAACAAATTTTAAAATCTGGAAAACTGGAAAACTTCATTTAAAATGTTTATAGCAGCTGAGTACTAACTACTCAAAAGGGCATCAGAGTTCAAAGACAACAGGGCAAGAAAGACCGTAAGACTCATCTCCAAGAACTAAAGCTGTGGCTCAATAACCAGTCTTGAAAGAAAAAGCTAAGAGACAGTGCCTAGGTCCTGAGTTCAAGCTCCAGGACTAGCACACATAAAATAAATGTGTATAGTAAAAATAAACTGAATGTATTTTGTTTCCATATGCTTAATGACCTCATTTAAACCTTGGATTCCGATGTCACTCAAGGTAGGGAACAGGATCTAATCATTAGATAAGAGGTTAGGAATTTAAAGGAAATAGCCAATTATCTAACTGCTTATCAGGTGGTTGGATTTGTGATTAATATATAGTCAGCAAATATGTACTGAGTGACTAACGAGTTAAACCTAGGTTGACCCTGCAAAAGAATATAATAGGAGGTGCCTGCCTTCACAGAGCTTCCATCCCAGTAGGGAAACAGATGTAAACAAACAAAATACAGATTGTACCGGGTGCTGGTGGCTTATGCCTGTAATCCCAGTTATTCCAGAAGCTGAAGTCTGAGGATCTCAGTTCAAAGTCAGCCCTGGCAGGAAAGTCTATCAGACTCTTATCTCCAATTAACCACCAGAAAACTGGAAGTGGCACTTGTGGCTCAAGTGGTAGAACACTTGGCTTGAGCAAAAGAAGTGCAGGGACAGTGCTCAGGCCCAGAGTTCAAGTCCCACAACTGACATACAAAACAAAAACAAACAAACTACAGATTGAGATAAGTTTTTATAAAGGAAACTGGGTCAAACATAAGAATGTGAAGGGCAAAAAGGAAGAGAGGAAGAGGTCAATTAGATCTAAATTTAAAGGAATTGGGATTATAAAATGGAGTGTATCCCTCCATAACTGTGTAACTCTGTAATGGTTTGCTTGTTTTTGCTTTTGGCAATACTAAGGTTTGAACTCAGGCCTTCCACTTGCAGGAAGGCATTCTACCATTTGAACCACACCTCCAATCCTACACTAACCGATTACTCTGTGTGTGTGTGTGTGTGTGTGTGTGTGTGTGTGTGTGTGTGTGTGTGTGTGTGTGTGGCTGGGCACTGTCCCTTAGCTTTTTTTTTGGGGGGGGGGGTCTGGTCGTGGGGCCTGAACTCTAGGCCTGGGCGCTGTCCCTCAGCTCTTTAGCTCAAGGCTAGCACTCTACCACTTGAGCCACAGCGCCACTTCCGGCTTTTTTCCCCCTGCTTATGTGGTGCTGAAGAATCGAACCCAGGGCCTCAAGCATGCAAGGCAAGCACTCTACCACTGAGCCACCTTCCCAGCCCCTGTCCTTTAGCTTTCTGTTCACGGCTGATGCTCTACCACTTGAGCCACACCTTCATTCATAGTTTTTGGTAGTTAATTGGTAATAACAATCTCATGGACTTTTCTACATGGGTTGGCTTAGAACTGTGATCTTTTCTGATCTCAGTTTTGTGAGTAGCTATATTACATGTGTGAGCCACTAGTGTCCAGCCCAATTACCTTGTGTTTTGTTTGTGTGCTGGTCCTGGGGCTTGAACTCAGGGTCTGGATGCCTGCCTCTAAAGCTGTGTGTGTGTGTGTGTGTGTGTGTGTGTGTGTGTGTGTGTGTGTGTGTGTGATGGCTAATGTTCTACTACTTGAGCCACAGCTCCACTTCTGGTCTTTTTGTTGGTTAATCAGAGATATGAGTCTCTCAGATTGATCATGATTCTCAGATCTCAGCCTCCTAAGAAGCTAGGATTACAGGTGTTTGCCACCAACACCCAATCCATCACCTTTTTGTCATTTTCTTCCATTACTTTTCCAGTTCCTGCTCAGAATGATTTTAGGAAATGCATGAATTAACTATCTTTCACTTTTTCAGTGGCGGTGCTGGGGATTGAACCCAGGATCTAGTACATGCTGAACATATACTACCACGGAGCAACACACCTAGCCTCCAAGCATTTTTGTTAGAGAGGTAGAAGTCTAATCAACCCTCTGGAAGAACTTTGTGAGATGGACCTTCTTCCAGAAAGCCCTGGTTCTATAAGAGCCAGCTCAGGGGCACACTAAGGGCTTTCATTTGCATGCCAATGAAATACGCCAGAACAAGGAGGAAGTAAATATGAGGTTCTTAGGAAAAGAAATCGGAAAGCAGTCATAGATTTGATTTTTTTTAGAAAATGGAATAAAAGAAAACTACATGTGAAAACTTTCATTCCCCCAAAGGGGCTGAAATAGTCTGTGTGAGCCATTGGCTCCCTTTAGATCCCAAGTTCCTGTTACAAATGACAGTGACACCCAGCCACCTTACCTCTCTCCTTGCTCTAGTTTTTTGCTGTCATCTGTATCACAGTTGACATCCCCTCTCCCAATATTCATTATGGTAAAATAATTTCAACACATGGGCTAAATCATAAGCTGCAGAAAATCTCCATGATGTCATTTTTAGCTTTGCATGGAACTCATTTAGGCACTACCCCACTGGGCAGGGAAGTTGGAGAGCCTCATGGAAGATTTGGCAGTGAGCCTGAGCACCAATAACAGAAAGCTTATGTTCTGAAGACAGCCAACAGCCAAGGAAATAACAAAGCAAAGAGAAATCAGAAAAAACAAGGCAATTTGGAAGAGCTCCATCCAAAACAAGTTTCTGTCCACCTGAAAGGCAATTTGTGGATTGCCACACAAGCTGGATGCTTTATATTTTTTTAATATGCCATAGAGCAATTACAATTTTTTCTTAGCTAAGAGGGATGATATAACTCCCTAGTCTTCAAGTGTGGTCTTAGGGGCAGTAAGGAGGGCCTGGCTTGATAAGGCCCATCCTATCCCACTTTGGTGGTCTTGGGGGAAGTAAAAAGCACAAGCTTGCCAGACACCAGCAGCTCATGCCTGCAATTCTAGTTACTCAGGAAGCTGAGATCTGAGGATCATGATTTGAATCCAACCTAGGAAAGTCTGTGAGACTCTTACTCAAGTTAAACAGCAAAGAGTCAGAAGCTGGAGGTGTGACTCAAGTGGTAGAGTGCAAGCCTTGAACAAAGAAAAAAACAACTAAGGGACACTGTTCAAGCCCTCGAACTGGTACACACACACACACACACACACACACACACACACACACACACACACACCAAACATCGAGGTGGATGTCCCTTCCTCAGCTTGCTTGCTTTTATCCTGTGGGTACTTAGGTTATTTGTAGGATTGCTTTTTAAAGCAATTGTCTCCTAAGCATATGGTCTTTGCTCTGCAGGACAAGCAGCAGTCCCAGTGATGGGCATTCAACCATCAACAGTTCTTCCTCCCCATCAGTTACTCTGCTCAAACTCCCTCCCCCCCTTTCCCATGCCAACTACAGGGAGGAAATAAGAAATCCTATGGTAACTTCAGTCCATCATTTCTGGCAGGAGTTCCATCGACTTCCTGGGGACTGGCAAGAGAGGCAATGAGTGGGTACAGGGAGTCAAATGATTAAAAAGGAAATGATGTTCTAACAAAACAGAGATGCCTCAGCTTGTTTGGCTGCTTTGAGCACACTGGCCCTCCACAAAGGAAGTGCAGTGCAGACAATTCTACACAGCTGCTATACCCGTACCTCACCTTTCTTTTTTTGTCTGAGCAAGGAAAGCTGAGGAAGGAAAAAAAAACTACTCAGAGCTTCATTTGTTCTCTATTATTACAGAGGTGATAACCTGGGTAGATGAAGCACAAAGTGAAAAGAAAGAGCTTTTTTGAAAAAAAAATTGTATACATACCATCTTTCCTCACTCCCTTTCCTGATAAACCTATAAGTTAGATTTTTAAACTTTGATTTTATGTGTGTGGGGTGGGGGATATGTGCCAGTGGTAAGGCTTGAAGTCAGGATCTGGGTGCTATCCCTTGGCTTTTCCACTTAAGATTGGCACTCTACCACTTGAGCCATAGTTCAACATCCAGCTTTTTGCTAATTCATTGGAGATAAGAACCTCTCAGGGTTAGGTTTGACCTATAATCCTCAAATTTCAGCTTCCTTTGTAGCTAGGATTACAAGAATGAGCCACCAGTGCCTGGCTTGTAAATTAGATTTTGAGAAGTAGGTGTGACTTTAAAGATCCATTTAGAAATATTTAATCAGTGCCCTTCTTCCCTGGTTTTTGTTGTTGTTATTGTTGTTATTTTGTTTTGTTTTCCCCTGGATTCTCTTTTGTTTGTAATTATGCTGTGAACTCAAAAGACCAGTCTCTACATTCCTTGGTGGCCCCCAAAATTCATGGAAACACTCCCTAAAAACCAACCAGAATCTCTTTCTACTTGGTTCTAGGAAAGGATCTTTTTTTTTTTTCTAAAGGAATATCTGTGTGGAATGGGTATAATTCCCCCAAAAGAACCAACTAGAAGGGCTGGGAAGGTGGCTTAGTGGTAGAGCGCTTGCCTTGCATGCCTGAGACCCTGGGTTCAGTTCCTCAGCACCACATAAGCAAAAAGAAAAAAAAAAGAACCAACTAGAATTCTTAATGCAAAATTCCCTGGATTTTTCCAAAGAAACCTCTAGCCATAGTCACAATTGTCAGCATCAAGTATTTATTGGGCCTCTCTTCTAAATTTTGCACTGGGAATCACTTAAAAGAGTTATGGGTCTGGGAACATGGTTTAGAGGTAGAGTGCTTGCCTAGCACACATGAAATCCTGGGTTCCAGTCCTCAGCACCACATACACAGAAAAAGCCAGAAGTGCCACTGTAGCTCAAGTGGTAGAGTGCTAGCCTTAAGCAAAAGAAGCTCAGGAACAGTGCCCAGAACTGCGGGGGGGCGGGGGGGGGGGGAGTTACCTTCAACAACCAGGTGAAAGTCCAGGGTCTCCATTTTCATGGATGAATTTGCAACACAGTTGTAGGTTCCATTGTCTGATTTCTTGACTTTGGTGATGGACAGCTGGAAAGACTCACTTGTCTGTTGGATTTGGTGACGATTGTCCTCTAAAGTCAGGACATTATTGTTTTTGTACCACATCATTTGAGCCTGAGGATTAGATTTCACCTCGCAAACCAACTTGACATCTTTGCCTTCCTCAACTGTTTGAAAGTTGTTTCCACTCAGGAGAGGAGGAACTGTAAGACTCAAGCATTGAGGTTTGATTAGATGGCAAGCAGTAGTTCATAGTAAGCATTTAAAGTCTTCTTGTAGTCTATCACATGCAGTCATTCATCCATTTTGACAAAAATCTTATTGAGTAATTATTGTTTACCAAGCAATGGGCTAGGAACTGAGGATATTCAATTCCAAATATATACATTCCAATGTACACTTCCAACTGTACACTCCATTCCAAATCTCAGAAATTTTAATGTAGTGAAGACAAATCATAAAATAATATATGGTAATGAATGTAATATATGATAATAAACCTATACCAAATAGACAATTTGTAACACTAACCAAGAGTATTGGCCTGGGGTCTTTCCTTTCTGAGTGTTATTGTAACAAACTGACCCAGGCTACAGATAGATAAAACAGTACAATATAGTCTGGAGGCATGATTCATAGATTGGGCATCTGCCTAGCAAGCGCTGTATATATAATACCAAAAAGGCAGACACAGTAGTTCATCCTAAGTCCATCTACACCACTTCCTATGACTTTGAGACAGTTACTTCACTGTTACAGTCTCGGTTTTCTCATCTCAGCAAAAATGGACTAATAAGAACTTCCTCATGGGTGGCTATAAAAATTGAATAAAATAATCCCTGTACAGAATTTATTATGGTTGGGGACTAGTAGCTCATACCTATAATCCTAGGTACCCAGAAGGCTGAGGTGAGAATTGTTTTGAAGCCAGCCCAGGCAGAAAAATTCATAAGACTCTTCTCTACAATTAACCAGAAAAAAGAAGAGCCAGGAGTGGAGGTGTGGCTCAAGTGGCAGAGATCCAGACTTGAGCAAAAAAGCTGAGTGGGAACACAAAGCCTATGGTACTGGCATGCGCATGTGCACATGTACACGTGTACACACACACACACACACACACACACACACACACACACTACAGTACTAGTTGTTGTTGTTATTGTTATTATTATGTTATTCTTGTGGTGGTGGTAGTTGTTTTAAAGACTACTTACACCCTCTGGTTTTGCATTTTATCTAACCACATTTATGCCAATGAATATTTGCATTTTATCTAACCACATTTTTGCCAATGCATATTTGCATTTCCCTAGTGATCCTCTAGAAATAATGTTCTCTTCTCAGAATGTGTATCAGTTGTGCCCAGTCTGCCATGATCCTCATATCTCAGCCTCCTGAGTAGCAGGCATGAGCCCCTGGTGCCTGGCCTGTTATTTGTTTTTCATGTCAAAGTTTCACTATGGGGCCCAGGCTGGCCTCAAACTCTTGATCCTCTTGTCTCTGCAAATAATCTCAATTCTCACCTTTCACCATGGCTTACCCACATCTAGGGAGAAATGGCTGCCCTGACTTTCCCTTCTTGTCTATGCCCCTTGCATTTCCTGGCAAAGGTGCAAAAGATCATCAAAATGGATGAGGAGTGGGCAGTAGGAAGGAGGTAGATGTGGAAAAGGATGAAAAGAAGGAGCTTGTATAATCTGCACACTGAATAATTAGACCCTGAGTAGGCTGTGCTATTAATAACTTTCTCAGAAAAATGACATTTTGTTGCTCTTTGGAATGAGCTTGAATTCTGTATCAATATCCAACAAGGATGTTTTATTCTACTCAAATATGGAAGAAGCTGCTGGAATCAAGAACACAATTGCCAAATCTAACAGTTCAGTTTGTGGACAGATCCTATTAGCTTGCTTCCCTCCTCCCCCTTTCCACCCCACTCCTTTCTTTTCTTCTTGGTTTTATTAAGACATTAAGTATGTAGTTTAGACTGGCCTCAAACTCATAATGCTCCTGCCTCTATCTTCCAGAGTGCAGGGATTATAAGCATGCACTTTACTTCCTGGTTTGTTCCTATTAATGTAACCATTTAAAATTAATGTTTAATAGTCAACAACAAATGCTGGAGGGGATGTGGAGAAAGAGGAATCTTATTATACTGCTGGTGGGAATGTACACTCATACAACCACTTTGGAAAGCAGTCTGGAGGGTCCTCAGAAAGCTAAAGATTGATCTCCCTTATGACCCAGCCATATCACTCCTAGGCATCTATCCTGAGCAACAGGAACCAGGATACAAGGACACATGCACCTCCGTGTTCATTGCAGCACTGTTTACAATAGCCAGGATATGGAAACAACCCAGATGCCCCACTACTGATGAATGGATCCAAAAAGTGTGGTACCTACATACAATGGAATATTATGCAGCCATTAGAAAGGACAAAATAATGGTATTTGCAGGGAAATGAATGGAACTAGAAAAAATCGTGTTGAGTGAGGTAAACCAAGAATAAAGAGACAAATGGCACACGGTCTCCCTGATAAGTTGGTGTTAAATCCAAAACATAAGGAGATAGGATAAAGTAAACAAGACTCAAGAAACAAAGGACCTCCACTCAGCTGGTAGAATCATTACTAAATGACCCCATGCTGCTGACCACATATATAAGATATATGTGTACATCACAAGGAAACTAGGAGGAGGACACAGAAACAGAGGAAAACATACAACAGCAGAACCCATCAGCTGCACTGGACATTGATCAAAATGAACTAAGCAACTCAATGAGAGCAATGGGAGGGAGGGAACGACCAGGAAAGAGGGAACGTCTGACACTAAACAAAAAGAAAGAAATGTACATATCACCCAATGTGGAAGAAATAACTGTATTGTCAAAGTCATAGAATTCATAAACTTCATAGACCATGAAAAGACAATTTGCCCCATGTGTTTGTGACCTTAACTATCACCATCTCACAATACTGTGAAATTTGTGAAATTTATGTAATCATTTAATCACAATAAAAATTGCTATAAAAATTAATGGTTAAGGGCTGGGAAGGTGGCTCAGTGGTAGAGTGCTTGCCTTGCATGCCTGAGGTCCTGGGTTCGATTCCTCAGCACCACATAAGCAAAAAGAAAAAAGCTGGAAGTGGCATTGTGGCTCAAGTGGTAGAGTGCTAGCCTTGAGCTGAAGAGCTAAGGGACAGTGCCCAGGCCCAGAGTTCAGGCCCCACGACCAGACCCCCCCCCCCCAAAAAAAAAAATTAATGGTTAAGGATGTCAGCTGTATGTGGATATTCTTTTATGAAAATCAGTGATTTTCAGATAAAGCTAAGATTCTCTTTGACTCTATCCTGGTTACCTTCTGACTCCCCCGAGGGACCCACCGCTATGAATTTGGGGAAAATTCAGATTTTTTAAAAGACTTCTCTATATGTAGGGAAAATAATCTATCATTTCACGAGCATAGGAAAAGTTCACATAAAAGATCTTGTTCTCTTGATAACTTGCATGTTTCTGAGATCTATCCACACTGATTCACAATGATTTAGCTCAATGCTTTTAGAGCGCTCCCAGTATGATATATGACTCTTAGTTTGACAGTTATTACATTATTTTCATTAAAAAAAAACATGTTAAACAGTGCCACATTAAAGATCTTTGCACATGTCTCTTTTGTGCCAGTATTTCTCCAACATTAACATCTAGAAGGAAAAATGCTAGACTATAAGGAAAGAAAGAAAGAAAGAAAAAGAGCCAGTTGCCAGTGGCTCATGCCTATAATCCTAACTACTCAAGAGGCTGAGATCTGAGGATTGCAGTTAGAAGCCAGCCTGGGCAAGAAAGCCCATGCGACTCTTATCTCCAACTCACCAGCAAAAAGCCAGAAGTGGAGCTGAGGCTCAGATTGTAAAACATCAGTGTTGAATGGGAAAAGATAATAAGGGTTAGTACCTATACCCTGAGTTCAAGCTCCATTACCAGCACACACAGAGAGAGAGAGAGAGACAGAGACAGAGAGAGACACACAGAGACAGAGAGAGAGATAAAAGGAAAGGAAAAGAAGAAATGCAATTGTAATGGGGCCTGCAGATACTCAGTGCTTGCAAGGGTATGGGGGAAATAGGCTCTCTCCTGCTTCACTGGGCAATTAGGCAAAATCAACACCTAGATGTCAACCACCACTTACTGTGGTGCAGATATGGCAAACTGGCCTTTCTTTTCTCTTTACTCACAAGTGACATTCAGCACCACTGAGACAGACATGGTCTGATTCCTCTGCAGCTTGCAGGTAAAGTTGACTCCGTTGTCCTTTTCACTAATGGGAGAGACACAGACGGAGCTGATGTTGATATTGTTTCCAGGTTTCAAATCTACTCTCCCATTTTCTCGGAACCACAGCAATTCTTCATCCCTGGTGTGATTTCGAACAGCACATTCCAGAGATGCCTGGAGGCCACGTTGAATGTCCAGAATAGAGTTCTCTGTTTTACCATTCACAGTTAGAACAGAACCTGAGGGGTAAATGTGAAACTATTAGATGCCCATAAATGGGAGATTGGTTAAATGAACTCTGTTACAATGTGACAAAATGTATTCTCAATAGTTAAAAATTATCATTCTAGCTAGGCACTGTCAGTCCTAGTTACTCAGGAGGCTAAGGTCTGAGGATAGAGGTTTGAAGCTAGCCCAGCAAGGAAAATCTGACTCTTATCTCCAATTAGCCACCCAAAAGCCAGAAATGGAGCTGTGATTCAACACCTAGGTCTGTACTACAGGCACCAAAACAAAACATACAAACGAAACCTAACTACAAAAAACAGTCATACTGAGTGACATGATTTTTTTTTTTGGTCAGTCATGGAGCTTGAACTCTGGGCCTGGACACTGTTAGCACTCTATCACTTTGAGCCATAGCACCACTTGTTTTCTGATGGTTAATTGGAGGTAAGAGTCTTATGGGCTTTCTTGCCTGGGCTGGCTTGAACCGTGATCCTCAGATCTCAACCTCCTGAGTAGCTAGGATTACAGGTACAAGCCACTAGTGCCTGGATGAGTGACATGATTTTACAAGGAAATCGTAACACAGTGTATTAACTTTTAAAACGGAAGATTAAGTGTGTCGGTCCCTCATTTTTACTACCCATTAGCAACACTTGGAGATCTTTTTAAAAGATGCCAGGCTCTCATTCACATATACCTAAATGATTGACATAAATACAACTTGGGCAATAGGCATTTTTGTGGCGTTGGGATCTAACCCAAGTTCTTGCAAATGCTAAAAAACAAAGGCTCTTGTGAACTACTGGAGTTTGAAAATAATCAGAATGAACATAGAAACAACATATATAACAACAACAACAACAAAACTTATAGCATATATTCATGGAGAAAATAATTTGGGAAGAATTCCTATCTATATTGACTTGAATTGGTAAAAATAAAGACAAAAGTTATGATATACCAGACTTAATTTGTTTCTTTCAAGAGATTAGAAGTAGGAAAGCAAGGGAGTCGGAATGAGGAAATAAAAAGGAAACACAACAAGCAGAGTAGAAAAATAGTCTAAGATATAGCATTAGGTAAACAGGCAGAATAGAAAGCACATCTCTCATAATTACCATAAAAGTATCAAAATTAAATATGCCTCTTGACAAAAATCTGATTTGAAAGTCTTTTTCTGATCAAATGACAAGATTATGGATACATTTTATGTTGCATTTTCAATGTTTTAATACTATTTTGGCAGTGTAGGAAAATTTAAAAATGTTTAAATAAATATGGATTGTGGAATAGACAAGTTTTTGTGGGGTTGAGAATCAGGCTATATAGCAGGGATTTTTTTTTTTTTTCTGCTCCGAGTTTTAGAAATTCCCCTACGGAATTTTCTTTTCTTTTTATTTTCCTGGTTCAGAAGTAAAAAAATTAAAATATTCACTGTCACACACCTATTCTCCCAGAAAACATTCATCAGTATATTCTGTTAACTTGTTTGTTTTCCTTCTCCTCCGCCCCCCCCCCCCCCCACCTTTTGGTGTTGAGAATGGAACCCAGGGTCTCATGCATGCTAGGCAAATGCTCTATCTCTGAGCTAATCTCATAATCTTCCCTTGTCTTTAAATACTTTGGCTATTGGTAAAGAAAATGTTTTGTTCCTTACTATTTGATAACAATTTGGAAAACTGTATAACCAAAATGTTAGGTAGTTTTCTCTGAATGATGGGATTTGGAGGCAGGGTATTTTTGCATGTGCGCATGCATGCCTCTGTGTGTGTGTGTGTGTGTGTGTGTGTGTGTGTGTGTGTGCATGTATATGTGTGCATGTGTGTGCAGGTGGTGCTGGGAATCCGGGACTGATCACATTGCCAGCAAGTGCTTTACTGCTGAGGCATGTGTCCTGCTCTTCTTTATTCTTTTCTATACTGCCTTTTTTTTTGTCCATCATGGGACTCAAACTCTGGCCCTGAGCACTGTCCCTCAGCTCTTCAGCTCAAGATGAGACCTCTACCAGTTGAGCCACAGAGCCACTTTCAGTTTTCTGAGTGATTTATTGGAGATAAGAGTATAATGGTCTTTCCTACCTGACCTGGCTTTGAGCCTCGATCCTCAGATCTCAGCCTCCTGAATAGCTAGGATTACAGGCATGAGCCACCGATGCCTGGCCACTGCCTAATTAAAAAAAATTTTTTTTTGGAGTTGAGAATTTAACTCAGGGTCCTGCACATGCTAAATAGGCATGTACTCTACTACTAAGCTACATCTCCCAGTGTCTTGTCTAATTTATTTTACCATGACTACATAATTAAAATCTGAGTGTGAGGAAGAGGGGAGAATACACAATTAACATTTTGCTGTAAGTGGTATATTTCAATAGAATATTTAAGGTAAGGTTAATATCAAGATGCATTATAATATAGGAAAAATCTGCTGGGCACTGGGGGCTCACACCTGTAAATCTTAGTGACTTAGTAACCTTGGCCTCTTGAGTAGCTACAATTACAACTGTGATATGAGGATCCCAGTTCAAAGCCAGGTTGGGCAGGAAAGTCCTGAAATTCTTATTTCCAATTAACCACCAGAAAATTGGAAATGTTGCTGTGACTCAAAGTAATAGAGCACCAGCCTTGAATGGAAAAAGCTCAGGGAGAGTGCCCATACACTCTGAGTTAAAGCCCCATGACCAACCAACAACAACAATAACGAAAAAAAAAGGAAAATTCTGGCTGCAGCTATGGAGTTAATAGCTGTCTTGTACTACCAGAACCATAAAACAATATTTGTTCCACTGAATTTTCTATTATGTTACCTGACTCCTGCATTTTGAGCCATACTAATTTGCATAGCCAAATTGGAATTTAAGGTTGTGTCCAATGCTCATTAAGCATTTCTTTTCTTTTGCTGGTCATGGAGCTGAACACAGGGCCTGAGCCTCTTTGTGCTCAAGTTTAGTGCTCTACCACTTGAGCCACAGCACCATTTCTAACTTTTTCTAAGTAGTTTATTAGAGATAAGAGTCTCATGGACTTTTCTGCCCAGGCTGGCTTTGAACTGTGATCCTCAGATCTCAGCCTTCTGAGTAGCTAGGATTACAAGCGTGACCCACTAGAAGCCCAGCTGACCTTTTCTTTTGTGTGCCGGTACTGGGACTTGAACTCAAAACCAGGGCATTCTCTCTCTTCTACCCTCCCTCTCTTTCCCTCCCCCTCCTCCTCCCCTCCTTCTCTTTCCTTCTCCCTCCCCCTCCTCCCCCTCTCTTTTCCTCCCCTCAGGGCGAGTACTCTACTGCCTGAGTCACAGCTCCACTTTTGGCTTTTTGCTGGTTAATTGGAGATAAGAGTCTTACGGATCTGTCTGCCTGAACTGGTTGCAAATTGACATCTTCCTCAGACCTTGGCCTCTTGAGTAGCTACAATTATAAGAATAACCCACTGCACCTGAACCCATTGAACTTTTTTTTTTTTTGTAATCTGAAATTTTATTTCTCTAAAAAGAGGTAATGATAATGTTAACTTACTTGTCACTTCACATGGCAAAAATAAGATCACTAAAAGCAGAAGCCTGCACACTTGCAGTAGATAGCTGCTCTTCCATGACATTGTTAAAGGATCCAAGGGTGATGGAGCTGCTGGGAGAGAAGAATGCAATTGGATCTGTACTTTGGTCTCCAATAAGTTTATGAACTTGCTTCCTGTCCATTATGCAGTTTTAAAAGGAGCCACATATGAATCACTCTAGCTTAACGGTTCTACCTCTAGTTTCAAATTAAACAGCTCTGTTCTGATTAAGTTCAAAGTACATTTAGTAATGCTAGTATTTTTTTTAAGATAGCAAAAAGAAAAATGAAAGGAATTGGGCATTAAGATATAGGACAGCTGTGGGAAAATAAAAACTAATCTTCTCTAGAGAAATAGCATGTTATTAAAAATAATTTTTTTTTCTGGTCCTGGACTTGAACTGTGGGCCTGGATGCTATCCCTGAGCTTCTTTTGCTCAAGGCTAACACTCTACCACTTGAGCCACAGCACCAATTCTGGCTTTTTTTGAGTAATTTATTGGAGATGAGAGTCACAAACCTCTACATGCGCTGGCTTCAAACTGCAATCCTCAGATCTCAGCTTCCTTAGTAGCTAGGATTACAGGAGTGAGCCACTGGCGCCCAACAGAAAGAAAAGTAAAACTTGTTTCATTCTCAGGTGGTCCTAGGTGGTCCTTACTAAATAAACTCATTTTCTTCTTTTTGTCAGTTGTGGGGCCTTGAACTCTGAGCCTGGGCACTGTCCCTCAGCTCTTCAGCTCAAGGTTAGAGCTCTACCACTTGAGCCATAGCACCACTTCTGCTTATGTGGTGCTAAGGAATCAAACCCAGGGCCTCATGCATGCAAGGCAAGCACTCTACCACTGAGCCACCTTCCCAGCCTTCTTTTCTGTTCTGTTCTTTCCCTATCCCTCTCCCTCTCTCTCTCCCTCTCCCTTTCCCTCTCCCCCTTCCTCTCTCTGTGTGTGCACGTATACATTGGTACTTTGGCTTAAACTCAGGACCTGGGTGCTGTTTCTTACCTTTTTTTCCCTCAAGGCTAGAGCTCTATCACTTGACTCATACCTCCACTTCTGGCTTTATGGTAGTTCATTGGAGTTAGGAGTCTTACTGACTTTCCTGTCTGGGCTAGTTTTGAACTCAGATCCTCAAATCTCAGCCTCCTGAGTAGCTAGGATTACTGGTATGACTCTTCAGCACCCAGCAGACTCATTCCTTTTTGAAAGACTCACTTAGATCATTTTTTGGAAACCTGCTCTTTGATTGTAGAGAATGATTTGAGACAATTCCAAATCCCCTAGATTCCATGTGTGTACATGAAAAGGGCTCGATGGAAAAGTGGCTCTAATATTGAACCATGTTAAATGACTTTGAAGTTTCCCATCTTAAAACTACTTCCCCTTGACCAAATAGGAACTTGTTTAAATAATAAATAATCAGGGTTTCTGTGCTTTTGCTGATACATGCCTCTCTATTTCCATCTGGGGAAAGCAATGTTCCATTACTTCTGCCCTGGGGCTCAGGGTATGGCTCAGTGGTAGAAGTCTTACCTAGTATTTTCAAAGTCCTGGGTTGGGTCCCCCAACACCATAAAAGAAAAAAAAGAAAAAAAAGGGAGTACTACTATGAATATAGTAGAAATACACAAGCAAAAGACACAGTGTTACTGGAGGGGATGTGGAGAAAGAGGAACCCTATTACACTGCTGGTGGGAATGTACACTTATATAACCACTTTGGAAAGCAGTCTGGAGGGTCCTCAGAAAGCTAAAGATTGACCTCCCTTACGACCCAGTCATACCACTTCTAGGCATCTACCCTGAACAACAGGAACCAATATACAAGGACACGTGCACCTCCATGTTTATTGCAGCACTGTTCACAATAGCTAGGATATGGAAACAACCCAGATACCCCACCACAGATGAATGGATCCAAAAATTGTGGTATCTATACACAATGGAATATTATGCAGCCATTAGAAATGACAAAATAATGGCATTTGCAGGGAAATGGATGGAGCTAGAAGGAATCATGTTGAGCGAGGTAAGCCAAGAGCAAAGAGACAAATGGTACATGGTCTCCCTGATAAGTGGATGCTAAATCCAAAATGTTAGGTGATATGACAAAACTAACAGGACTTAAGAAACAAAGAACTCCCACTCATCTGGTCGAACCACTACTAAATATCCCCATGCTGCTGATCACATGTATGGTGTATATGTGTACACCGTTATATGTTATAGACTGCGATAGACAATTTGCTCCAGGAAAGTTAGAATGAACTTGTGACTTTAAATGAGCATCATTATTCCACAATACTGTGAAATTTGGGAAATTATGTAATCACTTAATCACAATAAAAAAAAAAAAGAACCTCGGGGAAGGTAGGGAGGGAAGGGATGGTAGGGGGAAAACAATGGAGGGGTAACAATGCTCAATAGGAAGTGTACTCATTACCTTACTCATGTAACTGTAACCCTCTGTATAGTATCTTTACAATAAAAAATTTTAAAAAAAGACACAGTGTTAAATTCTTTGCATACGTTCTTTTGATCTCAAGCCTTATAACAATTCTCTTGAGGTAATTCCTCCTTAGGCCCTTTCTCTTTGCTTCTTTTTCCAAAATAAAGATAACACTTATCTATCACAAATTGCATGAAAACACACAGTGAGTTTTTGTACCAGTACTGATATTTGAACCCAGGACTTCATATACTTTTTTAGTCATCAATGGTGCTCTACCACTAGAACCATATCTCCAGTCTAGCATTTTGTTGGGTAATTGGAGAGAAGAGTCTTAAAGATGTTGTTTCCCCAGTTGGCTTAGAACCATGGTCCTCAGATCTCAGCCTTCAGATCTGGCAACCAGATAAAAATAAAAATAAATAACAAAATGAATTTTGGGTAGAGGACGTCATGAACTCAGGGCCTGGGTGCTGTCCCTGAACTTCTTTTGCTCAAGGCTAGTGCTCTACCACTGGACCCACAGTTGCACTTCCAGGTTTTTTGGTAGTTATTTGGAGATAAGTGTCTCATGGATTTTCCTGCTCAGATACTCAGATCTCAGCCTCCCAAGTAGCTAAGATTATAAGTGTAAACTACCTGTGCCCAGCAGAAAATAAATTTTGATAAAAAATATTTGATTATGGTATTTCTGGAAATACTACACTATTACTATACGTCCAGTTAAAGCTTCAACTTTCTTTTCCTCCCCCCCCTCCTCTCTCTCTCTTTTTCTCAAGGCAGTTTTTAAAAGTTTACAGAGATGCTATAACATAAGATCCCAAAGGCAGTAACTGTGAAAGTCAAGATTCAAACCAGGACTCACAGGGCAACACTCATAACTGCCTTCTTGCCTAGATGAATATTTTCCTTCCTTTAAAAGTTGCTATTAGGCGCTGGGAAGGTGGCTCAGTGGTAGAGCGCTTGCCTTGCATGCCTGAAGTCCTGGGTTCGATTCCTCAGCACCACATAAGCAAAAAGAAAAAAAAGCCAGAAGTGGCGCTGTGGCTCAAGTGGTAGAGAGCTAGCCTTGAGCTGAAGAGCTGAGGGACAGCACCCAGCCCAGAGTTCAGGCCCCACAACTGGACCCAAAAAATAAATAAATAAATAAATAAAAGCTGCTATTAATCCCTTCTGGTTACTGCCATTCCATTGACCTTAGCAACCTAACATTGAGTATTAACTATCAAGAGTTAGAATTTAGGGATGACTACTTTAGGCCTCCTCCCCTGTTCCAACCTGCTCTGACAGGAGCTAGTCTCACTCCTGCCAGGCTCACCTGTTTTGGCTAGCAAGCCTGAATCAATCCTTTAATAAGATGCAATTAGCACTAACATGAACTCTTTTGTAGTTTTCAATTTCTGCCTGGAATATTTCACTTTGTTCTACCAGTGATGATTTTTTTTTTTAGAGATTGGTTATTATAAGAGTCTTCTCCAGCACTCTCCACAGTAGGTAGGTATTCAATAAAGACTGGGAGTGTGGACTTCTTGGCAGACCTCTCCTACCCCACAGACATCTTCTTATTCCTTCACTGCACCAAGACTCCTAATTTTCCACTTGAATTTTCCTCATTCAACATTCTTATTCTATCCAAGACAGACTTGTCACTTACCCGCTGGGCTGCAAAAAGCTGACTCTTCCTTGGCTGTTCTAATGCCTGGAACCCTGAATTATTTCTCTGTTACTCTCCTTTATAATGCTTGAATTTGAACACTTTATGACAGTAGGGTCAAATAAATAAGATAAATTGGGTGCAAAGTCTATTTCTCTTTATGGATTCTTGGAGAAGACAGTAATTGGGAAAGACATCTTAAGATCTAAGTTTTTCTCTGTTCTCAGGTTACTAGGTGGGGCCGGATATTACTAACAGGGGTGTATTATTTCAAGGAAGCCAGAACTTGTGCAAAAAAAAAAAATCTGTAGCACATCTTACCAAACACTGTCATACTCAAATGAGATGACTGTGCTTTGACAATCTGATAACTTAGGGATTGTGATGGGAAAAGTCTGAATAGAGATTTGACTTTCACAATAGTCAAAACACTGGAAGAGCCAGATGCCATTGGCTCACGCCTATAATCCTAGCTACTCAGGAAGCTGGGGTTTGAGGATCACGGTTCAAAGCCAGCCTGGGCAGGAAAGTCCATGAGACTCATCTTCAATTTACCACCAGAAAACCAGAAGTGGCGCTGTGGCTCAAGTGTACAGTACTCACCTTGAGCTGAAGAACTCAGGGACAGTGCCCAGGCCCAGAGCTCAAGCCCCACAACCAGCAAAAATAAATAAATAAAAACAAACACTGGAAGATTCTAAACAGCTTAGTGCTAGTAAAGTAGTTCTGATTCAGTACGTAAGTTGTGTCACGCCAGACATAGTTCCCTGAGGATCTCACCAGAGTGAAGAATGATTGCATTAAACTTTCACAATTGGCAACCGGAAATAATTTTATCTGCCAAGTACAGTTGTTTCCATTTATACAACAAATAGAAGAATATATTGATAGTGATCCATAGGTTTTTGTTTTTTCAATTTCTGTTTTTTGGTGTTTTTTTGTTTGTTTTTGTTTTTGGGTGCAATCGTGGGGCCTGAACTCTGGGCCTGGGTGCTGTCCCTCAGCTCTTCAGCTCAAGGCTATCGCTCCAC